CCACCACGGATACCAGGTCTCAGCCACCCCCACCATCCCATGGGGATGCGGAGGCTCCTTCCAGGAGCATCCCGAGCACAGGCCGGGCCCTGGCAGTGCTGCAGGTTTCAGACAAGCTGAGTCAAAGGTTAACCCAGGATTGCAGCACCCGCAGTGACATGCTGTGACACGGCCCCGGCGCTAATCCCAGCGCCAGCATCTCCCTGCAAACAGGACGGACCGGGAGGTGCAGTCACCACCGACTCCTCACACCTCCACCAGCACGGGGATAACCCTGCTCACAGCACCTCCTGTGCCCCACCAAGCCGGTGGCTCGGTGCCCCACGCTGCGAGGGCAGCGCTGGTGGGTGAACGATGGGTGACAGCCCGAACCCACCGAGCCAGCCCCACGCACCCCGGGCTGTGCTCAGTCACCGGGCACCGGCCCCTGGGCGCTCCCAAACGGGTGCTGCTGTGCCCCGTCAGCACCGCACGCCCAGCACGCTCCGTGCTCCTGAGCCAGCGGCACGGTTGCACAACCGCAGGCTCAGAGCAGCTTTTCCCTGTGCTGGGGCACCGTTTCCCTTGGGGGGGTTGATGACATCTCCTCCATCTGTCCCCTTTCATCCCAAAGCCAAGGCTCTTCTCCCGCATCCCGTTCACCTGCCTCCGGAGCAGCGGGTGCTGAGGACACCGCAGCCCCGGGAGCCGGGTGGCAGCGGCTGCAGGCAGGGGCTCTGTCCCTGCGGCACGGGTGGGAACGCCGCACGGCGGGTTCCTGCCCCGGCAGGACACACCGCACCGGGGCTCGTCCCTTGGGCCCAGGCGGGAGCAGCCGCAGGCTCCGGGCACTGACCCGGCAGGTCCAGGCCTGGTTGCAACACAGCCCGAGGTACAAGCAGGGAAACACCCGGCCTCGGGGCCGCAGGCAGCATGCTCTGGCACTGGGTCCTCCCTGGCGTCATCCCTGTGCTTCAGCACTTGGCTGTCGCGCTCCCGCACCGCCTCGTCTACCCCAGTCTCAGGCTCCTGCCTCAGTTTCCCTTCCAGAAGGAGCTGGGTGGGAGCTGCATCCCCAGCCCTGCTCAGCGTGCCCTGCGCTGCCCAGCCCCGTGCCCGCTGCCCTGCCTGCTTGGCAGCGGCAGGACACGAGGCGCAGGAGGACCTTCACCAGAGAAGCTTCTGCCGGGCCAAGCGGTGCCACCGCCGGCCTGGCACCTCCTGCCCACCTGAGAGCCAGCCCAGCTCCACCGCACGCTGAGACGGGATCCCTGCGGCCTCCTTCCACTCATGCACTTTGTCCAAATCTGGTTCTAGAGATGGACAAACGCCTGCTTTCATCAAACCCATCCACCTGGGTTTAAAGCGCGCCGCGGCCCCGGTGGAGGCGCGATCACGCACAGGGTGGCTGGAGGCAGGTGCTGGCCGGACCCGCAGTGAATCACAGTGTTTTCACAACGCGTCTCGCTCAGAACCTTCCCCGCTTGTGTTTTAAGACCTTCTCACCCAAGTTTACATAACGAGTCCGGGAAGGGACAAGCTGTTCCCCTGGCTGATCACACGGGGCAATCATCCCCGCTCCTGGCCGCCTTATAAAAACTCACCGGGCACAAAATATTTCACATTTCCCCCAGAACATGGGGGAGGGCCATAAAGCCCCGGCCCGCGGGGATCTTTATGATGCTCCGTCTGGGCTGGCGCCGCGCTGGCGCTCCCCGGCCTGTGCCGGAGCATCCCGGGGCCAGAGCCCATCTTTCACCACGTCTTTGGACGTTGCAGTCATGGCCGGAGGCTCTTTTTTCCCATAAACTTCTACGTCAGAAAAGGCAAAGGAGTGCAGCTGATTCCCTGTCACATCAATTAGTGAGGGAGTGGGTCTGGGGAAACCCCATCTGTGACAAATCACAGCCCCACGCCAAGAGCATCCTCCTGGTTTCTCCCCCTGAGAGGAGCACAGCCCAGTGGGATGAGTCCGGGTCCAGTCACCAGGGTCATTAGTGCTCAGGCTGAGAGCACTGTGGGACTGTCCCCAAGCTGGGGTTTACCCCATCCTTCCCATTCCGGAGCCAGCAGCTCACAGAGGTGGTATCTGCACCCAGCACCATGAGCCCAGGCACCCACCAAGCCCCTCACTCCAAAGCCATGGACTATGCAGTGCCAGAACCGGCCGGGGGGGCCGCTTCCCTCTGCTGCTGCTTGTAAAACAAAACCAGCCTTGGTTTTACTGCCTGATCTTTGTAACGCAAACAGAGGTCACTTAAAAAGGTTTTATATGCAGCGGTTACCAGAGCAGGTTGGCTGGTGAGATGCTCGCTATCGTTCGACTGTGATTTTACTGGTCACAACTAAATTACTCTATTTTGTTTAGGGACAGCATGTTTCTGAAAGCGCACCCAATAAACCGGGCAATTAAAGTGCTGAAGGAGCCTGTCTGCACCCTGCAAGGGAAGGGGTGATGCCCGGCTTCCTGCGGCAGGAGCAGCCTCCCCGCTGCCAGGGGAGAGCACCAAGCAGAGCGCCAGCATGGGGTGCGCGATGCCCATGGGGACAGACACGGCCCCACCAGCGCAGGGCGAGCGATGGCCGCGGGACAAGCAGTGCCCGTGGGACGGGCGCCCTCCTCCCGGTGCCGGTTGGCAGGAGCGCTGCCCGCACACCCGGAGCCGTCCGACGGGAAGCGGCTGCAGCCGTGACTCATTCCGAGCACGTAAGGTCTGGCAGCTCCTGCTGCACGTCGGTGCCGTGAGCGCGTGCATGGGCAGTGCCATCGTGCCCGTCATGGCTGCCCAGGCTGGGAGAAGGGACGCGCAGGGCACAGGTAGGGAACACCAGGTACAGAGCCATGGGCACCGCTCCTATTTCTGGAGCCCAAAGAGGCTTCCCAAATCCCTGAGCACCGAAGGGTGACCCCTCACCTCCCGCACCACCAAAGGGCATCATTCACCCACGAGCAATGCAGATTCACACAGAGCCACATATGAATGAGTCAAAGGGGTTTTCCAGTGACCTGAACTGTGATTTTGGGGTGATTTCCTCCCTACAGAGCTGTCTCTGGATCTCTGCCCTGGGCTCTGGCACAAGAACCTCTTCATCTTTATGTACAGGTCTAAAAACCATCCCAGAAACCTTTTCAGGCTGCCTGTACCCGCTCTGGCCACCAGTAAAGCGTTTCCCTTTCAGCAGAGCCATGCAGGACCAGCCGCTGTTTTGGGAACACCACGGGTCAGCCCGGTGGTGCCATTCATAGGATCTCAGCTGTATTTGGCTGCTGGCAGCGGCGCCCAACAGCCCGGCTGCAGCACAATGCCTGGGCGGCAGGAGAGCTTCCCCCCGGGTTGTTCAGCTGTATTTTTAGCAGGAGGGTTTTGCTTATGAAATAAACTTTCTCATGAGGCAAGGGAGACAACACAGAGCCGAGCCTGACTCAAGGTCATTTGGCTTCACAGCTGATGTTTCACACCGCAAACAAACGCAGCCTGCTCTATTTTCAGCTCTATTTTTCAGTGCTGGTGGCAGACATTGTTCTCTGGGGAAAGAAGCAGCGATGGAGGGTGATTATTTTGACAGGACAGGGGTTGGGAACCGGGTGAGTCCTGGTACTCGCCATCCAACCTGTTTGTTCTAGCTCCACCTGCAAGCGCCGCTTGAACACAATCCCAGATTCCAGTCCTGGCAGAGTGGCAGGAGGTTTAACAACAAAAATCCCTTTTGTTCCCAATCAACGGCACCAGGGGACGTTTGGGAAAGTCTGACCCAGTCCTGATTGAACGAGAACCTGCGAGGACATTTCTTAATGAGAGGCAATCGTGACCTCTCACAATGCTGTGCTGCTCTGCGGTGATTTATGGTCCCCAGGAGGGTCAGACCCATTTACTGCTCTGTTGTGAGGAGTTAACATCTCCCACAGTCACTCAAGATGCTCTTTACCTCTAGGCTGTGGCTGTAGAGCACTGCTGGGCTCAGGGATCCTGCACACGCACAGAGCTGGCCCCAGTGGAGGGAAAGGGAAAGGAGGTCTTTTAAAAATGGATTCTAAGATCTTCTTAAAAAGGCTTCTAAACCTCTTTAAAGACACTTGTGCAGCTCACCCGCAGTGCCTTGGCCTGGGCCAAAGGCTGGTTGTGGGCATGGTTGGAGCGAGGAAAGCAAAAGCCACGAGGGGATGTCCTGACGCCTGTGGCATCTCAAACCAGGGCAAGAAACTCACTTTACATGGCTGTGCTCTTGTATGAGATCTCCCAGACTGGTCTGGGTTGGAAGGGACCTTAAAGCTCCTCCAGCTCCAACCCCTGCCACGGGCAGGGACCCCTTCCACTGGAGCAGCTTGCTCCAAGCCCCTGTGTCCAACCTGGCCTTGAACACTGCCAGGGATGGGGCAGCCACAGCTTCTCTGGGCACCCTGTGCCAGCGCCTCAGCACCCTCACAGGGAAGAGCTTCTGCCTAAGAGCTCATCTCAGTCTCCCCTCGGGCAGGTTAAAGCCATTCCCCTTGGCCTGTCCCTACATCCCTTGTCCCAAGCCCCTCTCCAGGTTTCCTGCAGCCCCTTCAGGCACTGGAGCCGCTCTCAGGTCTCCCCTTCAGGAGCCTTCCCTTCTCCAGGCTGCCCCAGCCCAGCTCTCTCAGCCTGGCTCCCGAGCAGAGCCGCTCCAGCCCTCGCAGCAGCTCCGTGGCCACCTCCTTCCCTGAGCCCATCCATTCCCACCGCCCTTCCCCTTGCCGGAGCCCAGGGCACCGGAGCCTCAGCCCTCGGGGAGCGGGGCCGGGCCACGGCAGAACGGATCCACTCCGGGGGTGACCGGAGATGCTCCGGGAGGCCCGGGAGAGCCGCGGCGGGCGGGGCCAGCGGGCGGGCCCGGACCGGGGTGGGTGGGGCCGGCGGGCGGGGCCGCGGGCGGGGCGGGGCCGGTCCCGCTGTCGGTCGGACGCTACCGGCGCCGCGCGGCAGGTACGGGGGGACCGGGGCGGGCGGGGGGCACGGGGCCTCCGGTCCCTTCACCCCGGGCGGTGCCGGTGAGGGTGCCGGTGCCGGTGCTGGTGCCGGTGCCGGTGCCGGTACCCGCGGGCATCCTCCCGCCAGCCCCGGGGTGAAGGGACCGGCGCGGCGGGGCTGGACCGGTGCGAGCGGTTGGTGAAGTGTCCGCGGTGAGACCTCACCGGGGTTTGCCACCGCCTCCTGTAGTGGAGGATGCGCGGTTAAGAACTGAGATTCTTCCCTGTGAGGGTGCTGAGGCGCTGGCACAGGGTGCCCAGAGAAGCTGTGGCTGCCCCATCCCTGGCAGTGTTCAAGGCCAGGTTGGACACAGGGGCTTGGAGCAAGCTGCTCCAGTGGAAGGGGTCCCTGCCCGTGGCAGGGGTTGGAGCTGGAGGAGCTTTAAGGTCCCTTCAACCCAAACCTGTCTGGGATTCTCTCTCTAAAGAGAGGGAGAAAAATAAGGGAAGTCCTTTCTAGACATTCGGGGGGGGGGGCGGGGGGGGGGGAAGGGGATGCCATCAGTCCGGTTGTGGTGTCTTTCTGCATGATGCAGACGTGAAGTCGCCCCATCTCAACATGCTTGTGCAGCAGTGTTGCCAGTGTTTCAGTGTTGGTGCTGTTGGGATATCGGGATATGCACAGGGTCAGGTGCTGTAGTTTTTCCTTAACCCCTGCCTGTGCAGGGTTTTTTTGATCTCCCTGATAACAGGTACGGGAGCAAAGTGCGGCTTTCTGAGTATCTCCCTTTGCACTTTGCTGCGGGACACATGCCCTCACCTCGGGCTGCTGCCCCCGGGACACGGGTCTTACCGCAGGGTAGGAGCTCTGTGGTGGGGAGGGAGCTGCTGCGGGTTGCTCCTCTTACGTCCCAGGATTCACGTTGTTCATTGCACAAGCAGCAGAGAACTCTCAGCAATGTGACCTTACTGGCACGTGAGGAGTGAGGAGCAAGGCTTGTCATCATCCAAGGAGACAGGGCCACTGCGGGAAATGCAGGGTTAGGCAGGGCAGGAAGGGATGATGGAGCATACAGCACAGACAGCCAGGCAGTGCTCTCTAAACTTACAGACTGTAAACACTTGTAGTGCTGTACGCGTGCCCATTGCGATCAGAGACCTGGAGGCGCCGGTGCAATCGGGCGCTGTGGGTGATGGAGCAGGCAGCCACTCTCCAAAGCATCCCTGGCTCAGGATCTCCTCACCTGCTGATCTGTTACTGCTCCATTTCTCTTTCTTAACCTGCAAACTTGTGATGTAATGCAACAGATCGCCTCTAATTTGCTAAAGCGCTGCTAGGTTGGATCAAAGTCTCCTCTGGGGAGAGGTCTTTTCTTCAGGCTCTGCAGAGGATGGCAGAGCAGCAGCTGGTGGTCAAAGAGGAGTCGCTGTTGAGTGTCCCAGTGGAGAAAGTACTGAATAATGGCAGTACCAGGGCTGGCAGTGTTGGAGCGGTTTTGCAGCCAAGGTACCACCCTGGAGCTTCCCTCAGTTTTCTTTATGTCTTTATTTCTTTCCCGTGGCAGTTGCTGCAGGAAGAGCCCAGAGGAGGCTCAGCACAGTCAGCACGATCGTTTCGTAACGCGGGAGTCTGATCTCAGCCGTGAGGTGGAGGAGTTTCAGCTGCGACGATGCTGGGCTGATGCAGGGCCGGACTCGCGGCTGCTGGGCAAGGTGCGGACGTCTCTTTCACAGCACAGAGCAAACCACACCAGAGCCACGAACTCTTTTAGGACCGCTTCAGCCACCACGGGGGTGCAAAAGATGCCAGGAGAGGAGTCCAAGGCACCCTGGCACTGCAGGGCTCTCGGGACCCAGGCTCAGGCTCTGACATTGGTGTGTCAGGGATAACACAGTCTGCCAGAGCAATGTGGCAATGAGAAATACAGAGGAGGAGGAGTGGGGGAGCCCAGCGGGTGCGTGTTCCCCTTCCGCGAGCCGGCTCTGGAAGTACAGCAGCCAGACAAGAAATAAACCCAAACATCCAGGCCCATGAGTGTCGCACACTGCGCAGGGAATGAGGGGTTTGGGGGCAGCAGCAGGGACGGAGTTTGTAACCATGGGACATCCCCATGTGCCACATCCCTGAGCTCCTCATCGGCTCCTGTCCCACCGTAGCCCCCGCTCCCTTCTCCAGAGGGGCTTCGGGAAGGGGTGGTTACCTGTGCACTGATGGAGAGGGGCTTTTGTCATCCCTCACTCGTCTTTTCTCTGCTCCAGGTACACTGATGGGGGAGAGCAGGAGCAGGCGGGCACTGAAACCAGCACCAAACCCCCTCTGGGCAGCTGCAGCATCCCAGCACTGAGCCTCTGTCCCTGGGGTGAGGAACCCCCGTAACAAGCTTTGGCTTCCCATCAGACAAGAAACCTCGCAGAAGGAGGATTTCAGGAGGAGAAAGGAACAGGAAGTCTGGAAACATCCTGGAAATAAAGGTAAGAAGAAAACTATGATAGTGAGAAGAAAAGTGTGCAAACCGGTGTCACCTGCATGTGGTCAAGCACGGCCTCTGCTTAACGCCATCCTTTTATCAAATGACTGGTTTAAAAGCAGAGCTTACACCTAAAGGAGGGTTGCTGGTTGCTGTATTTCCAGCACACCTGTTTTAGCTTGGTTTTTTTAATGTGGGGATCCATGTGTTTTCATGGTAGGGCAGGGACATCCTCAGCATCCTGCCTGAGGATGCTCTTCCAGCCGATCCCATCCCCGTCCCGTGCTTGTGTTCCCGCTGGCAGGCACCCTGTGAGGCCACAGTGGAGCAGCACTGGCAGAGAACAGGTCCCATGGCTTTGACATCAGGGAAGAAACATTCTGGATCAGTTAAAACACACCTAAAGGTGAAGTCCCAGGACACGCGTTCCCTGGGGAGCAAAACGCTTTCAGATGAGTAGAGCCTGCCTCAAATCTTGGAGGAAGCAGCTGGAGCTTCCTTTCCAAAGCACTCTCCCATCAAGAGCTCAGGGTGTTAGGCTGCATCCAACAGACATGTAACAGGGTGTGCAATGAAAATCACCATCTCCCTTTGCATCATGGAGGGAGGCACCATAAAATCCGTTGGGTTTATACTTTTCTCAAGCTCTGCAAGTACCACTCATCATCACCCAGCCTCTGCATTGCTGGGCGCTGCTCACTGGTGAAATGTTGTGCTATTTCGGCCCTCTCTCTTCTGGGATGCCGAGTTACACACAGCACCAGTCCTTAACTCTGTTCTACATTTAAACCTGGAGAACGCCCTCAGCAGCTGCCTGGGGTTGTTTTGAAATCCTGCCTCGGGATAGTGAGATTTAGTAACACAAATTCTCACCTTAAAACAGCAGCACAAGATGTTCTATTTACTCGCAGTGTGAATGTGAGCTATTCAGCATCCTCACACAAGCACTGAGAGCATACCGATACTATCTGAAACACAAAGGAATTTGGTGGAAAAGAACGATCCCTTGTCCTTCCTCCGGCGGGCAGCAGCACTGAGCAGCATTCCTGGTGCTGGGAAAGGTGCTGCAGGTACCAGGGCCCTGTCTCCTGCCCCTTTGATGGCCTGGTGCGCTCTGATGCTTTTTATTGTTAACAAAAATTGTCCTAAACCCTGTGTTAGCTTGAACACTGAGCACTGTTTCGCCTCAAAGCAGCTCCTGCGCGTGCTGCTTGGTCCATCTAGCGTTGGCAAAGGTTTTGGGTGATGTTGCAGACGGAGCAGTTTGCACACCAAGTGCCTGCTTCCTAAAAAGTGACCTGGTTGGGTATTGCAACACCTGCAGGGCCCGGGGCTGGTACTGAGTAAGTCACTGGTGGCACACGTTCAGCAGGTCCCAGTCACTTAACCCTTGTGGGGCTGGAAGGAGGTGTCAAAACCATTGGGCACTTTCGGAGCAGCAAAGCACAAACCTGCCCCTCGCACCCCCTTGGGAGAGGGGGGCTGTTCACTGCCACGCCATGACCCTGCAGAACGCCTGCTCTGAGTAGCTGCTGCATTATAAACCCATGGTGGTGCCACCACCTAACTTCCCCTTCTGCTTTGCTGGCAGCCCCAGAGGGCTCAGTGTGATACTGGCCTGCTCCTCACCATCGTTCTGATGCCTGTGGTCTGCTCTCCCCTTGCAGAGCACAGCATGAACCTGAAGAAGTACTTCATCCGGGCACTGCACCGCCTGCAGAAGGGCCCCGGCTACACCTACAAGGAGCTGCTGGTCTGGTACTGCGACAACACCAACACGCACGGCCCCAAGCGCATCATCAAAGAGGGGCCCAAGAAGAAACTCATCTGGTTCTTCCTAACTTTGCTCTTTGCATCTCTGGTCTTCTGGCAGTGGGGCATCCTCATCAACACCTACCTGTCCTACAACGTCACCTCGTCTCTCTCTATCGGCTTTAAGACCATGAAGTTCCCAGCAGTCACAGTCTGTAATGCCAACCCTTACAAGTAAGTCTTTCTCTGCCTAATTCACCCAGTTGTGCTTTAACACCCCCAGTTGTGCTGCTGGTGTAAGGGACTGTGGTGTAAGGTACTGCAGGTGTAAGGCACCATGGTGTAAGGTACTGCTGGTGTAAGGCGCCATGATGTAAGGTACTGCTAGTGTAAGGTACTGTGGTGTAAGGTACTGCTGGTGTAAGGCACCATGATGTAAGGTACTGCTAGTGTAAGGCACCATGGTGTAAGGTACTGCTGGTGTAAGGCACCATGATGTAAGGTACTGCTAGTGTAAGGTACCATGGTGTAAGGTACTGCAGGTGTAAGGTACTGTGGTGTAAGGTACTGCTGGTGTAAGGTACCATGGTGTAAGGTACTGCAGGTGTAAGGTACTGTGGTGTAAGGTACTGCTGGTGTAAGGTACCATGGTGTAAGGTACTGCAGGTGTAAGGTACCGTGGTGTAAGGTACTGCTGGTGTAAGGCACCGTGGACCTGTTCCTGGCTCAGATACATTAGGAGCATCAATGGAGTCACCAACTGGCACTAAAAGCTAAATAAAGGAGAACAGTGTGGCACTGGATGGCTCGGCTCCAGACAAGGGTTCACGTGCCTGCACTCCTCCTGCCTTTCCTCACTGTATCAGTTCATCTAACGATGGTTGTTGCCTCCTTGAGAACTTCCCCTGGCTCAGGGATAAGTTCAATCACTTGTCACTGCCAAAATCAGCCCCTTTTCTGCCCCATAGTTCTGTTCTTCCTCCTTCCTCGCTGTGAACGTACCACTTACGGCTGTCGCTCCAGCCATGACAAGCTGGTTAAACAGCAGTTATCTGCTGGGAGCTGCAGCGACACAACTTGAGCATCATTTTAAAGGAGTAACCGATTCCTGTTAGAGCTGCTTTAAAACGATACCCACCCAGCAGTGCAGCCCCGGGCAAGATAGGCTCAACCAACGGGCAGGAATTGCTTTGGGGCTGGTTTTTCTCTTGCTTGCTAGAGGTGTTTTGTGTAAACTCCCCCACCTCAGGTCTGCACTGGCAGGTTCACCACTGCGAGCTCTGCTCATCCTCCTGCTGGTTTCCCACCCGGCTGCAGGGATGTTCGTGTGGAGCTGCCCGTGCTCTGCATAGAAGCTCCTGTTGCTCTCCAGTAAATCCTTAGGCAGTGAACAGGGGTCCCCAGGGAGGCCCAAGCCAGGGCTGCAGCACAGGAACTGCTGCACATCGCCACTGCCCTCACACCACCTGTAACTGCTCTGTCCTCAGATACTCGGAGGCGAAGCCTCTGCTCAAAGAACTGGACCGGCTCATTGATGCGGCGCTGGAGAGGATCCTGCAGCCCTCACCAGGCAACAGCAGCGAGAGCATCTCCCCCCCGCTAGACCTGGAGCTCTGGTACCAGATCCCCCTGGTCCTCATCGACGAGCACGACAAAGACAACCCCATCATCCTGGACATCTTTGAGACCAACCAGACCGCTGCGGGCATGCAGTCCTCTACAGACACCCCAACCCCTGCGGGCAACGAAAGCTCTGTGGACATCGCAGCCTCTGCAGGCAATGAAAGCTTTGTGGGCAACCACACTGCAGGCAACCACACTGCAGGCAACCACACTGCAGGCAACCACACTGCAGGCAACCACACTGCCACCGCACCGAGCCCGGCCAACACCACGTCGGAAGAAAAGAAGTACAAGCTGGCGGTGAAGTTGGTGAGATGGGTCCCAAGGAGGCAGCCGGGAGGGCTGAGAGATGGCCAGCACTGGGTGCCTCAGCAGGGGTGTGCTGTGGGGATCGGTGTCTCTTCCCCCTGGCTGCACAGGGCAGAGGGGTTCACCCAGCCTGGTCTGGGCACAGCTCTCATCTCCCGGAGCAGCAGCAGGGCTGGCGTCAGGCAGAGGGGGGGCACACACTGTAGGTCCCTGCTGCAGAGGGCTCAGACCTGCCTGTTGTGTCCCCCCAGTGCAGCCACCCGGGCTCTGACAACTGCACCTACAGGAACTTCACGAGCGCGGCGCAGGCGGTGACCGAGTGGTACATCCTGCAGTCCACCAGCATCCTCTCCAAAGTGCCCCTGCAGGAGAGGATCAGGATGGGCTACCAGGCAGAGGACATGATCCTGGCCTGTCTCTATGGCGCTGAACCCTGCAACTACAAGTAGGTGCATGCCAAGCTCCCTGCCCTTCCCTGTCACATCAGGAGTGGGACGGGATGCTAAAGGCATGACAGCCTTTTGCTGTTCAATTTTTAAGGTATATATCAGTTAATAGAGATCTCTGCTGGTCCTTAACTCTAACACCATTTCCCAGAGGGTTTCTGGATGTGATCCTGGCAGAAACAGGTTATTTGGGATACTGCTGGCTTGGGTTTCAGTTCTGGATGGGCTGTTTTGCTCGTAACGTATTGAGACTATCAGCATCCAAGGGCCCTGCCAGGGTGTTCAGCAGCTGCCAGCCCAGTGCTGAGTCAGCACAGCCGTGCAGCCCCAGGTACAGCCCCTGCTCTCCCTACACGGGCTCTGAGGCACATTTCAGCCGTCCCCATTTCTCACCTGGTTGTGGTCCTCGTGAGCCCCCCCCAGCAGCAGGAGCCTGCGCTGCTGCAGAGGGAGCAGAGAGTTACTGTCAACAGCTGAGGTTTAACTCCAGCCCAAGCCTGTTACCGCAGCTCACATCAAGCAATTATTCCTCTCGTTGCTGTGACAGGCTGTGCCTTTCCATTCCCAAAAAGCGCTGTCCCCAGCGGCTGGCTCTCAGCACGTGTGGGCCTGCCTTTGCTCTTCTCTCCAGCAGCAGAATGACTGAATTCACATCAGCTGAAAGTTCCACACAGGCACCTGACAAACAACGCGACTGAAAGGGGGTCCCAGGGGTGGCTGCCAAGCGCTGCTCCCACCGCATGGCTTGGTTTGTAACCCCCCGAGTCACAGCCTTGTGTGCATGATTCTGCAGGAATTTCACCCAGATCTATCACCCGGACCATGGTAACTGCTACATCTTCAACTGGGGCATGGACGAAGAGGCTCTGAATTCCTCCAACCCGGGAGCTGAGTTCGGTAAGAGCGAGTGGCCCGCAGCGACCATTGCTGCTGGAGAGCAGCTCTGTGATTCCTGTGCCTCTGGAGCACTGCAGCAGTGGGGGAAAAGCCCCCCGAAGGGAAACGTGCCACTTAGAGCCAAGTGCTGTGGGCACAGATGTGACACGTAGCAGAAGTGCAACATCTGGAGAGCGGAACTGTCTGGGGCAGTGTCTGAACATTCACTCAGATATTTCCATTCAGAGCACTCTCCATCATGCGGAGTTAGGCGCACGTGAGGCTGCTGTGACAGCCAGACCCGGCCCTTCCCCAAGGAACTGACATCTCTGTGCACAGCGAGAGGAAAAGAGACTTTGGGCTCTTTCGAGACTCACATTTCTGTACAGTTCCTGAGTGTTTTGTCTGGTGTCCCAGGGCTGAAGTTAATCCTGGACATCAGGCAGCAGGACTACATCCCTTACCTGTCATCCGCCGCCGGGGCCAGGCTCATGCTGCACCAACAGAAGAGCTTCCCCTTCCTGAAGGATCAGGGCATCTATGCAATGCCCGGGACGGAAACCTCCATCGGGGTGCTGGTGGTATGTGCGGCATTCCTCCTGAGCAGATTGTCTGAGAATAATGTTATCTGATGGGACTGCAACCAAGTTTGTTTTAAGTCTTGGCTGAACTGGCTCAAACCAAAAGAGTCACGGTACAGGCCAGCTGCGGGCTGGAACACTTTATGGAGACTTTTATGTAACTGTCCTGGCAAAGTGCTTTATTGAAGCCAAAACAGTGAGCTCAGGTCATTGCTGGCTCTTCCTTCAGTGTGTCGGAAGGTGCCTTGCTAAAACACGCTGCTCTGAACACCCTCGAGTGGCTCAATCCACCCTGGGCAACGCTGCATCTCCTTCAGCGCTGCTGCCCGTGACTCTGATTTGTCCCAAAGCCAAAAGGGAATATGGGAATGACAGAGACCCTAGAAAATGAGACCAGGGCCCAGGAGAACCACCAGGTACTCACGTTGGCTGGTTTGGTTTTCTTTCAGGATGAACTGGAACGGATGGGCTATCCCTACAGCGACTGCACCATGAACGGGTCTGATGTCCCTGTGAAAAATCTCTACAGCGAATATAACACCTCCTACTCCATACAGGTAACACTGCACTCTTCAGGCAAACAAAGCCGGGTAGGGAAAATGACCAAAGCAGCTGAATTCTCTGACGAGCAAGCAGGGTTACCGGAGCATCAGCAATGGTCACGTAGAAAGCACCACCTGAACCCAGGAACCCTCTTTTCTGGCAATGAAGGAAGGGCTGAGCATGGTTCAGCGCTGATCCTTTCCCCCTGCCCGGCCGCCCCGGAGCCCGGCTCCGAGCAGGTGAGGGTTCCCGACCAGGCAAAGCCGGAGCAGGCTGCGCCCGGGCCCCTGCTCCCTTAAACCCTGCTGGTTCTTCGCTGTTCCCTTTTGCTCCCGAGCAGCCAAGTCCCCCAGGACAGCTCCTCCAAACTCCAGGCCTTTGAGCTGTGGTTGCTCCATCTGCAGTGTGAGCGGTGGCTGCAGCTCGGGAGGGCTGTGAGGCACCGAGGGGACACTTCCATCAGCTCGGCCGGCTCCTGCTGCTCCGGCACTCCGGGAAGCACCGAGCTCCGGGGTTCAGCCATGGCATCGCTCTACCCCATGAAGCAGCTCGTGCTGTGTGTACACGAGTGGTGCTTATCCCTGACAGGAGAGGGATGTGCAGGAGGGATTCCTCTCCTCAGCACTCCTGCTCTTCTTCCTCCTTTCCTCTTTAAGGGAATTGAGCCACTTTTCCCCCTGAGAACACCCGCTGTTTTTCCGTGGGAAATGAAGCCAGAGCTTTGCTTTTTCTGCACTTAAAAACTGGGCTGAGAAAGTTCAGTGTTCAGAAACCTTCGATCTGTAGAAACCCAGGTGTAAGCAGGAGGGGCTGGTTCATTTGTAATGGGCTGTCATGTAAAGGGGAAGCGCTTCTGGGGGTGAGACCCAGGACTAAGGAAAACATCAAAACGCATTGGGGGTTATGTTCCAATGCTGGAACAATGCACCCCAAAGCGGGGGCTCTGCTCTAGCGGGGGGGGGGGGGGTATTTCTCCCTTTATGTAACTACCATTTGGACCACTCTACCCCTCTTTTTGAGATGCTTGTATAACGTTTAAGCAAACACTTGAGAGGGTTGCACTGCGACTCCAGAGCTGCTAAATGCTGACAGAGGCTCTGCGCCCGTGCACTCCACGTCACTTGAGAGACCTCTCAGGATTTTCCCACTGCTCCCCGTTTGCAGTGAGCTCTGGAAGCATTTCCTATGGCACTGAGGCTCCCTGGCTGCTCTGCTGAGCTGGGGCTGTTAAATTTCATTGTCTTCCCATAGAGTTGTTAGTGCTTTGTGCACTGTTTCATGCCGAGTCCCGCTCCAATCTCAGCTGGTTAACTTCATGCCTGGCTGAGCTAACGGCAGCGCTGCAGCCGGGCTCACAGTCCCTTCGAGGGGAGCAGCAGATGCACAGATAACCTAGTCCAAAACCTGCTTTGTGTTCAAGTATTTTTAGAGCCCTGGCTCTAAAGTGGACTGCAGCCCCTGGGCAGTTTGTCCCATCAACCTGGAGACAACGGCAGCGTCCGTGGGTGAGACAGAGCATTTGTATTCCTCTTGGGAACCATGTGGCTTCCATAGAGCCCCAGGACAGGTGAGAAGTGGGCAGTTTCCGTGCGGCTGGAGCAGGCTCCGGGGTGAGTGTCCCTCGGGCAGCTCACACTGGGTTGTGCCTTCAGCTCCCCGGGAGCAGCAGTAAAAATGCCTCACAAACACAAGGGCAGCCCAGGGCAGCTCGGCTCAGCCTCCTCTCACTAGGGTAAAGCCGGAGGAGGCTTTTGCACAGGGTGGGCCCCGGCAGCACCCACCCCCTCCGCAGCCACGGCATCGCCTGCTCCATGCAAAGGAGAGAGAGCTCCTCGGAGGGGAGCGGTTCCCAGAGCCAGCGCAGAGCCCAGCAGCTCCAGCCCACGCCTGAGCAGCTCCCTCTTCCCTCCTCCAGGCCTGCCTGCGCTCCTGCTTCCAGAAGGACATGACTGAGATCTGTGGATGCGGGCACTACATGTTTCCTTTACCTCAGGGGGTAAAGTACTGCAACAACGAAGATTACCCAGGCTGGGGTAAGAGCCTGAACAGAGCCACTTGCACGGACATCCCGGGGTGCGAGGGTGCAGGAGGGCATGGGAGCTTTTTTGCTGTAGTAAATGCCACAGCTCCGTGTGAGGTCTCTCCATGGCCACGGGGTCAGTGCTGGGAGAAGGGGTGACCTTTTTGCCCGAGTATCCCAAGGGAAGGAAGGTCAGCGGGGCAGCAGCAAACCTGTGCAGCAGGCTCAGACCTGAACACTTCCTACATGATATTGATGTAATCCAGCAAGCAGGTCCTCACCTAAACGTGCTTTGATTTTTTGTCTTCACCCAACAGCATATTGCTATTCATCCCTGAGGTCAAGTATAAGGCACAGACAGATCTGTATTGACTCCTGTAAGGAAACATGCAAGTAAGTACCGGGGCCGCTTGGGGCAGTGATGGAGGTGGAGCGGATCCTGTGCTACCCCCAGCGATCCCGACCTTCCCACTGCAGCACCAGTGACTCCAGAGGGGGAACCTCCCACTAACGCCCCGTCCCTCGCTCCGCAGCGACACGCAGTACAAGATGACCATCTCCATGGCAGACTGGCCCTCCGAAGCCTCCGAGGTAACACCGGCTCCTCCTCTTGCAGCACCGATCCTTACCCCACGAATCGCTCGGCGTTCCTGGGCTAATGCCCGGGTAGCAAACGCCTCTTTGCCAAATTACACATCTCCAGGATGCAAACAGGCAGCAGGACCATGGGATGGAGGGGGGGTGATACCCCCATGGCAGCTCCTCCTGCCCGGGGTCCTGCCCTGGTGCCAGTGACAGCCCAAAACCTGTGCTGACCTCTGATTTACCCGAGCATGTGGGTGCTAAGGACTTTGCACATATTCCCTATAGAAAACCCCTGCATTTTATGACAAGAACCCTTCACCCTGAACTGGGGAAGCTGCAGCCAGCAGGACCCTGCTCTCCCAGCACAGGCTCAGCCACAGCAAAGGAGCAAAGGCACCCACACGCTGCCAAGCGCAGGGGCTCTCGATGGGTGAATTGCTGCTGCCTCCTGCCGCAGGCTCAGGTTCCTGCCCCAGGCTCAGGTTCCTGCCCCAGCAGGGCCCAAGGGATGCTCCTGCTCAGTTCTGAGCACGTTCTGTTTCCCTAGGACTGGATTTTCCATATTCTGTCTTATGAAAGGGACATGTCAACAAACGTGACTCTGGACAGGTGAGTGAAAGGAACAACCACTTTATCTCCTCCATTGAGGCTGTTAACACTAGATTAGCGTGAGCCTTGGCGACGGGCCAGAGCACACCAATGCAAAGGGAGGACAAGATTTGGCGCGTGGTTGCCTGGAGGATACACACAGCAAACCTGAAACACGCTGCGTGCATGAGCTCCGCTCTCCACAGGGGCAACCGGGGTCAGACAAACGTGCAGGTGACTTAAAACCAGCGCAAACGGCAGCAGCTCTCACCAGCTGCAGGCAGGGAGCTGCGAGCTGCCAGGGGCCAGCTCCTGTACTGCGATGTTCTGGCATCTCTGAACCTGCCAGCAGCAGTAGAGGGGATGCACCAAGATGGATAACTGCCGCCTTACCCTCTGAGAACCTAAACCCTGAATTAGGGTGGAAAAGGAGGGTTTTCCCCCATGGAAAAAAAACCCAACCTACCCAAACCCATCACCACCAACCACCCAAACCAAAGCAGGGAGGCAGGGAATGGTTTCACCGGTGCTGGCTGACCTGTACACATTAAGCTGCTGCACTGTGGTCAGTCGTGGTGCTGGGGCTCTGTCCGTGCACCCAGGAGCACGAGGAGCAGGGCACTGAGGAGTGCTGGCCCCTCTGATCAACCAGGGCAGCTGGAAGCCCAGAGCAAACAGCCCCAGAGGAGCTCCCAGGAGGAACTTCAGGACCCATCAGTGGCACTTGTAGCTTCTCCACGTGCCGGGCAGGAGTCTCGGTGGATGCTCATGGGTGGCTGGGCCGGGCTCTGTGCAGCTGGAGCAGAGGGATGGGATGCCCACATCCCGGCTCTGCCCTGAGCTGCCGCTTGTCCCCTGCAGAAACGGGATCATCAAGCTCAACATCTACTTCCAGGAGTACAACTACCGCACCATCTCCGAGTCCGCCGCCACGACGGTGAGTGCCCGTCCCTGCCCTCCGCGCGGTGCCACCGCGCACATGGGGCTCAGCTCCTCGGGGTGGTCCTCAGCGGGTGACCGGGCTCTGCTCCCGCAGATCGTGTGGCTGCTGTCGAGCCTGGGGGGGCAGTTCGGGTTCTGGATGGGGGGCTCCGTGCTCTGCCTCATCGAGTTCGGGGAGATCATCATCGACTCGCTCTGGATCACCGTGATCAACATCATCAGCTGGTGCAAGGGGCTGAAGCAGAGGCGGGCGCAGGCGCGGTACCCGGACGCGCCGCCAACGGTGTCGGAGCTGGTGGAGGCTCACACCAACCTGGGCTTCCAGCACGAGGGCCCCGGGACCCTGCCCAGGGACAGGGACAAGGAGCAGGAGCTGCCCCCTGAGCCCGGCACCCCCCCTCCCAACTACGACTCCTTGCGGGTGCAGCCCCTCGATGGCCTCGGGCCCGACAGCGATGCAGAGACCGAGTGAGCAGCGAGTGCCCCCGGTACCCCCCTGTGCAGGCATGGGCTGAGAGACCCCTGCTCTGCCACAGCCAGGGGGGCTCCGAACCGCCCTGGCTGCCCCCCCAGCCCCACTGCTCACTGTGAAAAGCTCTGTCCAATAAACCTGGTCAGGACCCTCATAGAGCTGGTGTCAGGCTCTGCTTTTGGTATGTTCATAGAAGCACGGAATGGAAAGGACCTTAAAGCTCATCCAGTTCCACCCCCCGCCACGGGCAGGGACACCTTCCACTAGAGCAGCTTGCTCCAAGCCCCATCTGTATGTGCAGCCTCTATACATCAGAATTGCTGTGCAATCATGCATCACCATTTCTTTCTAAGGGGTGGCAGGAAGCACATCCCAGTGGGAAGAGCAGATGGTGGCAACGGAGGCTGCACCAGGCTGAAGCTGGCGGTGCTGGGGATAGGCTGGGACGTGCTGATGGTGGATGCTGCACCGTGGTCAACCCTTGGGTTGCGACCCAGCTTTTGACTTCCAAGGTGGCCATATTTCCACCCCTAGAGCAGCTACAGCAGCAGCAGACTGAAGACAAGCATCCCCCTGCCTGCGGGCACCCCGTCTGTGTGTGCTGGCTGCGCAGGGCTTGCGGTGCGGGGGGGCACGGCCGTTCATGTGTGCAGATCAGTGCTCAGGTATTTGTCAGGCAGAGGGGAGCTCCGGGCGGTTTAACTGCACCGCTCGGGGCAATAAATCCATTATTAAACATTGCCCCGTGCTTCCTGTTGGCAGCGGCGCAGCTCTGCGGGCAGGAGCCTGGCGGCAGCGGCTCCAAGGAGGGATGCGCTGTGCTCACCCCGATGTGAGGGTGACCAAGAGGCCCGGTGGTCCCCATGGGGCTGGGTTGAGCGGGCAGTGAGCGCCCCCGGCCCCATCGCATCCCACCCACCCCTGGCCCTGCCTCACCCAGGTGCTTCTGCAGAACCTCCAGAGGAAACAGGATCGCGTGGTTCAATCAGGCGTTGGGAACACGATGTCCTGGGCACGGTGCCCGGCGTGGCACGAGCTGCTGGGCACAGCGGTGAGGGAGGCCCATGGCAGGACCATGCTCCTCCACTTGATGCTCCACCAAGTCCCGGTGCAGAGCTGCCAGGGCAGAGCCTGCCGGGGGTCCCCATCTGCCCTCGGTGGCGGTGGGGCTGGTGCTGGTGCCCAGCAGCAGGACCAAGGAACTGGGGCTCCATCTACCAGATGGGATCACATCGGCTCCGCTGGTGCTGCCCCACACAATGGATTTTGTGTCCAAAACACCCTGCCCCGCTGGAGGTGCCGGTCTCACACTGCTGCAGGACAAGGTAATGAACAGCACTTCTGCAGTCTTAATTTTGTAAGACTAGATGCATGAACTTTAAAACACCACGATTCGCCCCAAAAGCAATGGGAACTGAAAGTGCTCATTTTTTATCACCTCAGTAGGGGAATTTCCACAGCAGCTCCTCGGTTCCACTCGGTGACTGCAGGAACCCGGAGCTCGAACCCTCTTTAAAAAGGCTCTTAACCAATGAAGCCCTTTGGAAACCTCTCTCGCAGCCTGGCTGGGTTCTCTGCTGCCGAGAGAGGGGTCAGGAGGGCCTGGTGCAGGCTGTGGCTGCTCCTTCGTGTCCACCCTGGTCTCAGCTCAGTGTCAGTCCCACCACCTCCTGCTCAGCACGTGCGGGGTGCTCAGCAAGGTGTGAGTTAAACCCCACAGAGCCAGACCTGGGAGCTGATGCAGGAACCCTGCAAGGCTTCACTCTGCTCCTCGAGCAGGGTCAGCAGCCCATGGGCTGGGGCTCTTCATTCTGACAGTGCCCAGAAATGGATGCAATGGGAGAAGCTGGCACCAGGACATGGGCACAAACCAGCCCTTCCCGGGCTGTTCACGGACCTCATGAGCTGGAGGCCTTCTTTAAATTGCCACTGCCGGGAACTCCGGAGATAAGGAGGTTACTCAGGAGCTGACGCCGCGCCACTTGGCAGAGCAGGTTCACTGCAGAGCTTCCGACTCCTTCCACCAACTTAATGCTTACAGGGGCTCAGCAACTGGAGCGATTCCTCCACAAGTGTTGCCTCAGAAACAACACCATTCTCTTTTACACATTAAACAGGCAACAGGCTTGCTGCAAACACTAGAAGAGGGAGATGACAGACAAAAGGCACTTGAGATGCTTGTAAAGATGGAGAAAGCCAGATCTTGCAGGTTGTCCTAGACTTTTCCTGCCCGACTCCTCACTTCCTACCTCCCCAAGGGGATGCTTCCCCCCGAGCACCATAAACCCACAGCACAGCCTCCTTCACCTCTTGTGAAGGGACAGGATTTTGCAGCAGTGAGAAACTGCCGCTCCCTCCAAAGACACGACAGAGCGATCTGCTTAAAACACTTGGGAAGCTGAGAACAAGAACCTGGGCAACTCTTCCAGCATCCCCACCTCCAGACAACACCGTCAGCACCACTACCAAGAAGTCTGGTCTTGTGCAGGCCCGAAGAGCTCTTCAAACATACAGACAGGGCTAAGGGACATCAGATGCTTTTGCGCAGGGCAAAGCAATCACCCAGAGCCTGCTCTTCTGCTGGTGGACAGCAGCATCCGTGGGGAGCTCCTGCAGAGGGGGGAGGCAGAGCTGTGTCCCCCCCACCGGCCCCTGCAGCACCCACACCTCCCAGCTCCGCACACCTTTAACCCAGCCGGTGCCTGCCCAGGGCCCCACGAAACACCACAGCAACGGGCGGCAAACAGCCTCAAAACCCTCCCCGGGTAGCAACAGGGCAGGAGAAGGATGGGAGAGGCACACGGAGCAGATTCACCCTCCTCACACCAAGGTAAAGAGAACAGCGTGTTCCCGGGCAGGCCGCCGTCGGTTTTACTATTCCAGTCACTGCTGGTTTATAGAGGGCGTCTGACAGCTGATAACAGTGGTGAGCGTCCCTGGTACCCAGCTCGGGCTCTGGGGCTGGGCTCTGCCCCACAGAAACATCACAGGCACAGGGGGGGCACAGGGGGGCTTCCCACAACCAAATGAGGCACCAGAGAAGCCCCCACTCTTTAAAACAGATTTCCCATACTCAGACACAAAAGAGCAAACGTCTGACTGAAACCTCGCCGCTAATTCAAACCAGCCCAGAAAACACAGCTTACTGCCCTGCTCTGCAGTGTTCTAGGTGCCAAGATTCACAAACCCCAAAAACCCTTTATAAAGCACCCATGCTCTCCTCACCTCCCCAGACTGCAATTGTGGCAGTGAAACTTCACCAAAGCCCAGCTGAGAACAGCCAAGGAACCCAATTTCACTCACAAAATGCACCACTGGTAACCCAGCAGCCTGTATCATCAGCACCTTACACGTGTGCTACAAACACAGGAAAGATGCTGGTGCGACTGACCCAGTCCTGGGGCTGCCCAGCAGAGAGGCAGCCGGCTGGCATTCCAGCTGTGGGACCTCTTGTGGACCTGAGAACACACACTTAGGCTGGATGAGCTGTTTTACCAAGCGCTATAAACCAGGCCTTAACAACCTTTACAAGAGAGCAACGCCTCCATTAAACTTCTTATAAACTTCATAGCTCTCAGAAGAAGACATTAATGGCACAAGGAACAACCTACAAAACTGGTTTTATTCTCAGTGCTGAGCTTGGTTGTGCCTCATCTACTAATTGATGAGTCTCTCTTCCTGATGTTGTGACTAATGACAGACTTGAGCAATGACAAGGGCCTCCAGGCAGCCCAGCTTCCAATCAGCCCATCTTTGCTGCACCTACCCCGTCATTTCAGACTCAGAAGTGATTAAATTCTCTGACAAAGCCAGTCCCCTCAGGACCACGGAGCACGAGCTCTCCAGCAACCAGCAGAGCATGTCCAGTCAGAAGCCAGCGCTGCTCAGCCTGGTCAAGCTCATCCAGCCAGTCTTTGGTGAATCTGCCTGTAGGACCCCTTATTTTTAGAGATGGAAAAATGGAACAAGCTTTTCCTACACAAAGGCATTTATTAAAATTCAGAAATTAATTCCCCTAATCCCCAGAGATGTGCAGAGTCCTCACAAAGCTTACAGTGAAATGAACCCAACTCAAGCAGGCCAGCCCCAGAGCAGTGTCCAGCGCAGGGATGTCCCCACTAGCACTCCAGGCCGCGCATGGCAGCGATGCTGCTGGCCATCCTGCGGGGCATGCTTTTCGCAGCCTGCCGGTAGTCCTCTGGCTTTGCCTTCAGCAGAGTCACGATGTTCTGCAGCGTTCTTGAAGGCTGAAGGCCAAGGGCATCCATCACATTTATTAGATAATCTGCAAGGTTAAGGATAAACATGTACTTGCACGGCTCACAGACATGGGGCAGGCGATGGTTATCCTTCGTTCTTCCCAGCGGCGAGAATCCTGCCACTGATGGCTCTAACCCACAGGGAAGGGCAGTGTGTTTGGAAGCTGACTGTGCTGACTGCTGTGCAGGTTTGGCTTCCTGAACACTGGTGTGGACACTGCCTGCTCCGCTCAGAGGACTGAGACGTGTTCTGTCACGTTTCAGTACCTGCAGACAACACCCTCGGGGTGGTCAGACACCACGGTCACAGATAAGGGATCACAATCACACTTTCAAAGGCAAAGAGCTTACAACAAAGCTGGGAAGTTTTGCAGAGGTGAAGGGTTGTGAGGCAGGAGGCGATTCCAGCTCACTGCTTCAGAGTCAGCTGGGGAATCCAGGATGGCAGGGAGAATGTTGAGCAACCAGCCTCCCATCCACGGGCTTGTCTTTAAGCAGTACCAAAAAGACTCTCGCTAAGGTCACTGGCATCAAGCGCACTTTCCGGCGAGCTGAGGAGATACTGTCTGACCTTCCCTGCTAAGACTGGAAGGGAATCCTCTCAGTTCTGAAGGACTTTGACTTCCACAGTCAAGAAACGCAAAGCAGTGAAGAAGCAGGAGTACCTACTGCAAAACCACCCTTCCCTCACAGAGGGATGTGACAGGACACTGCAAAAGAGCAGCTGTGAACCACTCCACCGTGCTGGGCATCAGACCAACACGCTCACAACTACAGCAGAAACACACACTGCAGCTTCTTCAAACCTCACATAACAACAGAGCAGCCCTTGTGCTCCAGCAGCAGCCCTGCGGACATCGTGTGCCCCCCACTTACCAATGTCTGTGGCGAGCTG